GGGTTCTGACGAGGGTTGGGGTTCAAGGAGGGGTTGGGGGGTCTTATGACCTCGAGGGGGTTTTGGGGTGTCTGTTGGGGGGGGTCAACCCCCAATTTCCGGGCCCCAGAAAGCCGACCTGGCCGTGGCCGCCTTCACCATCACGGCCGAGCGGGAGAAGGTCATCGACTTCTCCAAGCCCTTCATGACGCTGGGGATCAGCATCCTCTACCGCGTCCACATGGTACGGGGGGGCCCAGGGGGGCTCAGGGGGGGTCTGGGGGGGTTTGGGGGGCCGGTGCCACGTCGGGGGTCTCACGGCGCGTCCCCCCAGGGCCGCAAGCCGGGGTATTTCTCCTTCCTAGACCCCTTCTCGCCGGCCGTGTGGCTCTTCATGCTCCTGGCCTACCTGGCCGTCAGCTGCGTCCTCTTCCTGGCCGCACGGTGAGACCCCAAAACGGACCCCAAAAATTGGGGGGGCACCTAAAATTGGACCCCAAAAATTGGGGGGGGGGTATCACGAAATACGGCCCCAAAAACGGGGGGGATTTTGGAGGGACGAGTCCCAGGGAGGGGCCGAAAATGAGACCCCTAAAATGGGGAGGGGGAGACCCCAAAATGGACCCCAAAACTGGGGTTTGGGGTTCGGGGAGGTCCTGGGACACCCCGTGGGGTCATACCAAATTTTGGGGGTTCAGAGAGGTCCTGGAGTGTTCAATGATGGGGTTTGGGGGTTCTGGGGGGTTCTGGAAGGTTCAGTGAAGGGTTTGGGGGGTTCTGGGGGGTCCTGGAGGGGTCACGGATGAGTTTTGGGGGTTTGGGGGGGTCCTGGGACACGCCATGGGGTCATCCCCAATTTTGGGTGGTTCAGGGGGCTCCTGGAGGGTTCAATGATGGGTTTGGGGGGTCCCGGGACACCCCGTGGGGTCACCCCTGATTTTGGGGGTTCTGGGGGGTCCCGGGACACCCCACGGGGTCACTCCCAATTTGGGGGGTTCTGGGGGCTCCCGGGACACCCCGCGGGGTCACCCTCGATTTTGGGGGTTCTGGGGGGTCCTGGGACACCCCACGGGGTCACCCTCGATTTTGGGGATTCAGGGAGGTCCTGGAGGGGTCACCCCCAATTTTGGGTGTTCCGGGGGGTCCCTGACCTCCCCTCCTGTCCCCCCCTTTGCCCAGGCTGAGCCCGTACGAGTGGTACAACCCCCACCCGTGCCTGCGGGAGCGGCACAACCTGGTGGAGAACCAGTACACGCTGGGGAACAGCCTGTGGTTCCCGGTGGGGGGGTTCCTGCAGCAGGGCGCCGAGGTCCTGCCGCGCGCCCTCTCCACCCGCTGCGTCAGCGGCGTCTGGTGAGACCCCGGGGGGGGGAACGCGGCCCCCATTAGGGTTGGGGGGTCCCGGGGTCGGAGAAACCCCCCTCCTTTCTGAGCCGGGGCCGTCCCGCCAGGTGGGCCTTCACCCTCATCATCATCTCGTCGTACACGGCCAACCTGGCGGCCTTCCTCACCGTCCAGCGCATGGAGGTGCCCGTCGAGTCGGCCGATGACTTGGCCGACCAGACCAACATCGAGTACGGCACCATCCACGCCGGGTCCACCATGACCTTCTTCCAGGTGAGGGCGGCGGGGCCGACACGACCGACCCAACTGACCCAACCAGACAATC